GCATCGCGCCACAACGGCGTGCACTTTTTCGACATCTGAACCTCCAAAAGTGGTCCGAGAATAGTATGTTTTGTACATTTTGACTTAGAAATGTGCTTCGCGACACAACGGCGTACACTTTTTCGACATCGGAATTTCCAAAAGTGGTCCGATATTGGTGTGTTTTGTAGATTTTAATTTCAAAATGTGCTTCGTACTACAACGGCGTACACTTTTTCAACATCTCAACTTCCAAAAGTGGTCCGAACGTAGTGTGTTTTGTACATTTTAACTTGGAAATCTGCTTCGCGCCACAACGGCGTGCACTTTTTCGACATCGCAACTTCCAAAAGGGGTCCGCTCCTCTAGCGGTTTGTGCATTTTCACTTGGAAATGTACTTCGCGCCTCAACAGTGTGTACTTTTTCATCTCTCATCGGGGCTCCGTCCCCCTCCTCCTCCTCGCCACCTCCTTCTTCACAGTCACTCACTCACACTCACTCACAACTCCATTCACTCAGTCACAACTCCACTCACTCACTAACAACTCCACTCACTCACTCACAACTCCACTCACTCACTCACTCACTCACGCACGCACGCACTCACTCACGCACGCACTCACAGCTCCACTCACTCACTCACAGCGCCACTCACTCACTCACAGCGCCACTCACTAACTCACAGCGCCACTCACTCACTCACAGCCCCACTCACTCACTCACAGCCCCACTCACTCACTCACAGCCCCACCCACTCACTCACAGCTCCACCCACTCACTCACAGCCCCACCCACTCACTCACAGCTCCACCCACTCACTCACAGCTCCACTCACTCGCTCACAGCTCCACTCACTCGCTCACAGCTCCACTCACTCGCTCACAGCTCCACTCACTCGCTCACAACTCCACTCACTCACTCACAACACCACTCACTCACCCACAACTCCACTCACTCACTCACAACTCCACTCACTCACTCACAACTCCACTCAACTCACTCACTCCCTCACTCAACTCACTCACTCCCTCACTCACTCAACTCACCCACTCAACTCACTCATTCACTCAACTCACTCACTCAACTTCACTCCCTCCATTCACTCACTGCACTCACTCACTCACTCACTCACTCACTCACTCACTCCACTCACTCA